ACACACACACACACACACACACACACACACACACACACATATATATATATATACATTATATATATATATATATACATATATAAACACGCGCTGACTCGCAAATGAACTCACCAAACTATAGACACAAAGACATACAGACATGCACACACATATATATACGCACATACACACACTCTCTCTCACACACCTATATATATATATATATATATTGTTAGTTGTGGACAAGCACAATATCTGCACGTGATATAGTATATCGTTGTAAATGACTATATTTGTCTGGCTAGAAGCTGCGTCCGGGTCTTGTATCTTCTGCTTATCTTCTAGAGTGCGACCTTTCATACGACACCTTAATCCACAATCGATGATTCCAATTTTTATTATATTTTCTCAGATTCTCGATTCAAAGCTCGATAAGGGTTCTGTATACCTATCCATATCACAACCTTTCAACCTACAGTCGTGTTCATGCTCACTGCCCGGCTTGCACAATACAGCTGAGATAGCGTTGCAGAGATACGAAGAAAAACAGCGCAAGCGAAGGGAGGAGAGGGAGGCACAAGTATCCTCAGCACCGCAACAGGTGCGTTAGAATGGTGTTGTATAGTGAGTACAGGGTATATACATTCTAACTAGAGACGGTATATGCATAGCGCGATAGAATGCTGTAGTATAGTGAGTACACGGTATATGCATTCTAACTATAGACGGTATATGCATTCTAACTATAGACGGTATATGCACAGTCTCTTTATGATGGGCCTCACTCTTTTGATGTGTTTGTGGCAGCTTCCTACTGAAGTACTGTATCTGTGCATAGAGATCACACAAGTTTCTAGACAACTTTTTGGAGTACTCGGTGCAGAATTGTGCTGTATAGCCTATTGTACTGTCATCTTGTCGCTAATGAGGTAACGCGAATCTCATACACTTGTACCGATCGGTGACAGGTAGAGTCGTAAGGTTCTAGGTATACCATTCCTTATGTGTACAAACATCTAGTTGTTACTATTATTTATCAGGCTGTCAGTGCATTGGTGCTGATGCGTATCTGACACAAATATGTAGGCGTAGTTCTGCACACAC